CTCCTCCTCCTCCTCACGTCTCTCCTCCCAAACTCCAAAGGAAATCAAGGGCCTTGGGAGCCAAAAGCTACAAGACAAGGGGAAAAAGAAAAATAATCCCATGGTGTCAGGAGGGCTGTAAAGCAGGGGGAAGGGACAGAGAGGCAAACAGACTGGGGAAAGGAGAGGAGGCACAGGCTGTGAGCTGCCTTGGGTGGGCAGCCAGGGCAGCAGGATGGAGGGGAGGGAAAACAGGGAAAACAGGCAGTGGAAGGAAGGCAGAACGAGAAAAGGGCTAAGGGAAGGAAATCCAGCAAAGGCAGAGAGAGTTGGAGTGGCAGAAGGAAGAGCTGTGCGGGTCCCCTGACTGGCACAGGGCTGTGCCACGATGGGAATGGCATGGCACACACAGTCTGGCTGTGCCAGCCCTGGGAACATCCGTGGGGAGCTGCAGGAGCCACCTGGGAGTGCCAAAGTGTGGGGCTGAGCGAGCAGGGCAGGTGGAAGTGTGGGCAGAGCAGCTCTGTGGCCATGCCAGCAGGCAGGGCTGGCCCTCGGGGACTGCAGCACGTGGCAAAGCTGTCCAAGGCACTCCCAACTTGCCTTTAACTTGTTCCAGCACCGAGTGCATCCAAGGGACACGGCCAGACACCAGGCAGCAGTGCTGTGCTGTGGCTGGGGGAGTCCCTGTACCCTGCAGCCAGCGTGCAGCAATTGGAAATGAGGGATCAGGGTGGGCTCGACCCCCTGAGCTGTGTGGGAACACCAGTGCCACGCTGGGTACAAGGGCAGAGCAGTGCTGAGCCGAGTAGGTGCTGCTCCCAGTGCCCCCAGCCAGACACGGGACTCCCACACACTCAGGATGGGTTAGGGCAGTGGGAAACACACTGGCACTGCTGGCTCTCACCTCCCCATGCCCGGGCCCACAGTGGTGTGGGTGACATTGCTGGCTGAGCTGTCCTGCCCCGGATGCCCAGGGCCAGCCTGGGTGCTGGCAGTGAGCTTCTCTGTCCTAAGGTGTGAAGGGACTGTGGTTTTTGGCCAGCTGGGAGCTGGTTTGTGGCCATGGGGTGTTGCCAGGCCTGTGGCCATCAGGGTGGCCTCCAGCCAGCATGGCCAGCTCAGTCAGCAGGGTCACAGCTCTTGCTGGGGAAGCATCCCTTCCCTGCACCATGGGGCCACCAAACTGATCTCCTCCAATACCCATCCCTCGACCCCACAAGCCCCCAGCCCAGTGAGGGCATGGGCAGCCTGTTCCCCCCTGCAGACAGACAGTCTGCCCTGTGCCCCTCTATTCCTGCTCAGACCCCCCACCCCATCCCTGACTTCTCTCCCTTGGCCCATGCCTCAATTTCCTTTGGGATCCACACACAGACCCTCCCCAAATGAGCCACCAGCTCCGTTGGGTTTGTCAGCTGCTCACGCTGTTTATTCTGCTGCCTGTGGGGCTGCAGGATACAAAGAGCCCTGGGCTGCTCTGCCTGCAGCTTGGCTCACCTCCACCCAGCCTTACTTCTTTGGGGAGCATTAGTCCTTTCCACGGTGTCCCCAGCACAGCTCCAGCCTGTGGGCACAGCTCCTCCAGCACAAGCCTTTCCCTGCAGCAAGGCTGGGTGACATGGCCCATGGCATCCAGGCATGGACTGAGCTGAGTCTGACCCCAGGGGGGGTGAGGAGCCAGGCAATGGGAGGCTGCTGATGGAAGACCACCCCAGCAGCTGTGGAGGAGGATGAGAGGGACATTTAGGATAGGGAAAGTGACTCTGGTCAGGCTGCTTCGTCCCCTGCTCCTCTTCCCTTGCCAGGTCAGGGCTGGAAGCACTCTACAGGGTCATTGGAGTCGGGCAGGATGTTGCAGTTGATGGGCCAGAGGATGCCCAGGAGGCCGAGGGACTGCTGGCAGCGCAGCTCAGCAGCCAGGCAGACAGCTCTGCAGGGCTGCAGGACACCCCCATCCGGGGTGCACTTGGGCACGAAGAGGCTGCAGATGAGCAGACGAAGGTGCTGGTAACACGCCAGTTCCATCAGCGTCTGCGGGAGAGCAGCGGTGAGCCCAGCGCCCTACGGTGAGGGCAGCCCCATGGGCATCCCCTGGGCAGCTCACCTGGTAGTCCTGCAGCACTTCAGCAGCTCCTTCCTGGTCAGGGATTGTCAGCCAGATGTTGGGGAAGGAGGTGGCATTGTAGCCCAGCCCCAGACACATCTCCACTTCCACGGGCTCACAGACAGACCCTGCGCGGCGTGAGGTGCTTCGCTCCTTACAGTGCTGCCCACCAGGTGTGCCATGGGGCAGCTGCCAGGGTGGGATAGGAGGGGCTGAGTGCTCAGTGGGGCACCCCAGGGTGGCACTCACCAAAGGCTGGGTAGGACACCCCAGTGCAGTTGAGCTCGTCGGTGCCGTCGGGGCAGTCGTGCCAGCCGTCACACACGGACTCCAGCGCCCGGCACTCACCGTTCCCACAGGAATACTCCTCAGGGCTGCAGGTCTCTGGGAGATGAGAGGGGACAGCCCGGCAGGGCAGGGGCTGGGGTGTGGGCATGGGCACAGAGCAGGCTGGATGCTGCTGGGAGTCAGCCTGTGCCCGTGCTGACCCTCCCTGTGTTCACTCTGCTTGGTCTGGCAGATCCCTAGCTTAGGGAGATCCAAAATTCTCTGGGTTATTTAGGGGCAGCCCTCAGGGTCTGGATTGTGCCTCTGTGCAGGTGAGCCCTTCCAGGCCACATTCCCACGGCTAGGATCAGGAGAGTTCTAGGGGAATTCAGGTGAGAAGGGACTCCATGGGTCTGTAGCCCAACCTCCTGCTCCAAGCACAGTCAGCTATGAGATGAGAGCAGTTTTTTCCAGGGCTTTGTCCAGCCTGTCCTTGAAGACCCCCAAGGATGGTGATGGCTCATCCCTCCCCGTGCCCCTGCTTGGCTACCTACTCTCTGTGGCATTGTGGGCTTGGTAGGTGGCAAAGAACCCATCGTCTGCTACCCCCTCATCCGCCACGAAGAGGACAGTCATGACGTGGCGCGAGGAGGTCAGGGTGGGTGGCAGCTGGTGGCCACAGAACCTGAAGAGATCACGGGGCAAGGAATGGGGTCAGGTGCTCAAACCTTTCCCCAGGCTGGTGCAGCAGGGCTGGAGGCATCGGGGGGTACCTGCCCATGAGGCTGGCAGCCCCCGTGCCCGCGCTGTCGTGCACCTCCACGAAGTCAAAGCTGCAGTCCTCGTGCGACTCCAGGCTGAAGTTGTGGAAGTGCAGGTCGATGACATGGCCCACGGGCACTGAGATCTGCCAGAGGCACAGC